AGGGACTCCCTCTCCAGCCCTTCCTAATCTTCAGACACAGCCTAAAAAGGACAAAAAGTTAGAGGAAGGCATAGCATCTCAGCTAAAGAAAATACCACTGTAAATTATCAACTGATTGGGGTGTTTTTTTTTTTTTTTTTTTTTTTTTAATTTGAATAAAAAGAATTAGAAGTGATGTCCTTTTATAAAATGCCTTCTCCCTCTCTCCAGCCCCTTCCTCTCCCCCTCACGGGGGGCGATGTACTAGCCTACAGGGTTGCCAGTGAACAGGTTAGCTCCCCTGACCCCTCGCTGCGCAGGGGCTGGCTGCCAGGGTCGGGGACACGTCCTGCAGCTTTCGTTCTCTCACGGGCCCAAACAGGTTACAGGTAGAATACCGTCTGGCAGGTACCGCCTTTTGGTACCGAAGTGTTCTGAGGTATTAGGATTTTGTTGTGGGTTTTTTTTTTTTTTTTTGGTTTTTTTTTTTTCCTCCTTTGAAAGAAAAGCTAAAGGCCGCTGTGAGTCCTGGTGGTGGGCTCTCCATGGATGTAGCATATGGAAGATAATTTTTATACTGCATTTTTATGGATTATTTTATAACGTGTGGTTCTGTCTGGTGAGGAGGGAGGGGCCGCAGAGGAAACCGCCCGTCTTCGATGACGCTGCTCCGGGCCGAGCAGCGAGCACCCCCGACGCCACATGGAGGCCGTGAGGTCCAGGCCGGCGCCGCACCCCCACCTTCGCGAGGCTGGGGCACGGGGCGTCTGGAGTCTCTCTGGGTCTCAGATGTTTGTCCGCCACCTCTTGTTAAGGCTGTAGCCAGAAGGGAGGGTTGAGGGTAGAAGAAAGTTATTCCTGAAGAAAAAAGAAAATGAAAAGTCATTGTAATGAGCTGTTTTTATATTTTTAAAAGTTACTATTTAAAGGTTGGTTTGATTGTTGCGTTTTAATTGCCTCTCCCAGTTTGTCAGTCCTCCCCGTGAGGAGAGCTGGGCCACCGTCCCCTCACGTTCTGGAGCCTGGGCCGGTTCGCGTGTCACAGAGCCCCAGGTCCGTCCACAGGGGCTCGTGTCTTGGCACTCCTGTGCTGCTGTCCCCAACCCCTGAGCCGTCTGAAGGGACAGTGGGGGGGCGGCTCTCACAGTCCCATACCCGTGTCACCTGCCAACTAAGCACCAGGGAGTGGTGGTGGGAGCTGGGATTTGCTCTGGGCAGACGGGCAGGGCAGAGTCCACCGAGGGGAAAGAAAGCCACAGGTTGACACCAAAGTATTGTACACCTGTCAGTGCAGAACTTTTTGAAAAAAAAATTAAATGTTATGAACTTCAAGTGAAACTTCAAAGTGTCTATGAACCTCTGGACCCTGAAAACCTGCCCCATTTGAAGTGTAACAATTGTGTGACTAGGAGACCCTCCACCTCCACATCACAAGACGTGTTTTTGAGTGATTCAGAAGGAAGGCTTTGCGGAAAGAACCGTCCAGGAAGTACAGGCCAGTGTCCGCGGGGAGGCAAGGCTGGGGCTGGCAGGGAAGAGGACAGCGCCAGACCTTGCAGAAGCCCCAGGGGTGGTTCCCAGGCACCTGCAGCTCACGCACCCATTAGCGAAATCTCTCACAGAATTAGAGAATAACACGGTATGCAACTCCTTGTTTTGTCAAAGTCGTTATAAATCAGCACAAACAAGTGCCTGCTGTCATTTCATTACAACAAGGGAATCTAACATTTACAAAAAGGAGGAGCAACAATCTCTAATAAAGCACAGTCTTTATTCTACCACTGGGGAGGACAGCTGGCCTCTGCACACAGAGGGGTCATTTAGCTGAGATGGATGGTCCCCAGGCTTATAGAGGAGAAGCTTCCAGCAGGTAGGAGGAAGCTGAAGGAGGCTCCATCTTGACTGGTTGCATGTCTGTGAGTAAAACATCACCCTTTGGACCACAGCTGTCTCGTTTGTGCGTATCAACACATTGCAGCTCTGGCCAGAGTAAAAATCCGTGTGCGCCCAGGACTTGGGGCTGCCCGTGGGTGCCAAGGTAGGGTTGGGATAGGGGCTGACAGGCCCCGTGGGGTGCAAGAGGACAATGCCTTACCGGTGGATGCTTGCCTGCTTCATCCTTGTCCTGCTGGGGGAGAAGGCCAGTGTTAAGCCCACCCCCGCAGAGAGACTGAGTCTCTGAAAGACTGTTCACCAGGTTTTCCTTGACACAGGGCAGGAAGGAGAGATGACCAAGGTTCCATCTGTGTGGCAGCAGCGCTCAGTGCAGGGTGGGGACACCTGTGTGGGTGGCCTGGTCTCCTTGCTGAGGTTCTTAGCCATGCCTGCCTGTGCTGATCTTCACCCTGCGCCCCTGCTCCTGTCTGCCTCCTCGCCACCCACCACTCCTCTGCGCCACCTCTGGGAACTTGTTAGCAACCTGGAATTCCAGCCCCCCACTTAGTCTCGAAACAGAATCTGCGCTTGGGCCGTGTGCACGTCGGTGTTTGTGAATCATTCTCCTAGTCTATGGGGAGGGCCTCCCCATCCCGTGGTAAACAGCCCTACTCCCATTCTTAAGCCCCCTAGGTTGTCCCTTCTTCCTCCTTAACAGGGTGACAGGAGGTCCTGATGCCACTTTCCTAGCCTTTGAGAAAGTCACTTCCTATTCTTGTCCTCTTTTGCAAAAATCCAGGCTTGTACCAGTCAAAGCGTTTGCAACACGTCCCTGCACCTATTTGCTTGTCTGTTCCCAACTATTCTGGTTTCCCTGGAGGGCAGCACACAGGATGTCATCAGCCCAGGGCAGGACTAGTGAAGGATGAGCTCTCCTAGTTTGAAATTATCCTAATTCACAGTGTCTGGCGTGGTACCTGGGGCATCGGATGCTCAGTCACTCAAGTCCAGAGAAGTGAAATGACGTCCGGAGTTCTTTCAACTCCGTCGTGCTGCCTTTGCTCAAAGCAAGATCTGTTTGTTTTTTAAGTGGAGGGGCATGCTTGTCAGAGGCCAGCCTTAATGGTTTCAGTCCCATCAGGTTATGGACAAGTATCCAGGTCATCCCTGGCGGCAGCTGGCAGATTGAGTGTCAGCCTCTCTCTCAGTCACAGCCCAGCCGGTTCCCTGCCCCCAGGTGGCTCTGGCCCCAGCACAGGCCGTAATTATTCTAACTCGTGGGGGCTGTGGGAAGGTACAGCAATAGATCTAGATGCTGTAATGAGAAGGGTCCTTAGCAACACTGCTGAGTGTCAGATACTGGCCGTCAGATATGCCACGATGACAGAGGGTAAATTTTTGTTTTCAAGAACACAGCGTTTGAAAGTGAACATTTTGAATATAAAGTATAACAAACCTGATTGAACTTTTAAAAAATGTGTATAGTTAACAGAATTATTAGATACCATTTGATTTTTTAAGGATAATATAAAATATACTGCATACTGATGATGCATTTTTAAACATTACACCAAAATTGGGCCTTTTGTATTTGAAGAGATATATATACTGAGCCTGATTTTATAGGTGTGGCAGTAAAAGCCCCGAGAGGACAAGCAACTTACCACGAGTGCTGCAGTCTAAGTCAAGATGATGACAAACCGCCTCCCCTTCCCCTAAACCCTTAGCACACTCAGCAAGAAAGGACTGGAAGCTGGGACAGCTGCCCGGGGGCAGGACTCAGTGACGTTCGGAGGATTAGTATCCAGGGAGTAAGGCCTCCGGCCCCTCCTCCGACAGGACCGGTGAGGAATGGTACCTAGCCATCTTTCTGTCCACCCGTCCACCCTGCCAGCGTTTATGCAGTGAGCGTCTGTCACGTGGCAGTCATGGTTCCAGGTGCTGAGATGCAGCGGACACAATGCCTGCCCTCACGGAGCGCTCAGCCAGCCGGGAGAAAATAGCCAAAGAAACTATCCTCACTCCGTGAGCTACGTGAGGGTGCAGACCAGAAGACATCAGTACGAGCTGAGGCATCAACCTGGGCGCCGAGAGACAGAACCAGACAGAGAGCACCTGGCACGCCAAAGGGAGGTGGGGACAAAGGTGTTCCAGGTGGAAGGAGGAGCGTGTGCCAAGGCTGGGGTCAGAGAGCGCAGTCCCGACACTGCGCCCCCACCCAGCCATCCATTCCTGCTCCTCCAGCTCTCCAGCTCCAGCCCTGCCTTCTCAAGTTCCAGTCTTGCTGCCTGTCCCTGACCAGTCTCCTAGCGGAGCAGGCTGGTGAGACCTAGGAAGAGGGAGCTGGGCAGAGACCAGGGCTCCAGCCTGGTCCAGGAGAGTCCGAGGAATGCGGAGGAGGTGGTGGGTTGGCGGGGGCGGT